AGATACACAAATGTACCATTATTTAAAAAGTATCCTAAAGCTATAAAAAGGAACTAGTCAATGATGAGTGTTTTCCCTCACTTGTAAGTTGCTTTGGATAAAAGAGGGCTGCAATATAAAGCATTACTGTCGTAAGTATAAAATTGAATCCAGCATCATCACTGCCCTGTGCGTGCATAAATGCAACAACAAACCAATAAAACATGAAATCAGACTGTGTAAATAAGGACTAAGACTGTCACAACTGTGGCACAAGTGGCCAAGTTTCCTCAACTTGCAAGAAAGAAAGAAGAAAGAAATCACTCAGTGATTAAAATCAGTGTAACATGAAAGGAAACCAAAGGAATGTGTTCAGGCACCTGTTTGGAGATCACAGTTCTCCAACAGGAAGAACACCAGCGCAACTAGACACTGCTAATCTACAGTTATGATGACGTACACCATGTGAACCGTTTCTATCAGACCAAACTGAACACATCATATTTCAGACATGAGCCAACACAACACAAAGCCGCCATGTTCCAAAATCTTCCAGATATGTGCAAATGTAGCAGTTTACTTAGACCAAGCTGTCAAAGTTGGGGCATTTGGAGATGAAGATTGCAATTAAAAACTATTTTCATTATTGTTTAATCTGCCAATTATTTTCTTGATAAGTCAATACATCATTTAGTCTGTAAAATGTCAGAAAAATGTAAAAATTTCTGTCGTGGTTTCCCAGAGCCCAGGGTGACATCTTCATATTGCTCATTTTGTCTGACTAATGGCTTGAAGACGCAAAGATATTCAGTTTGCAATCATGGAAGACAAAGAAAAGCACCAAATCATCGCAACTGAAGGCCAGGAACCAGAGAGTGTTTGGCATTTTTGCAAGAGAGAAGAATTGAAATGAATTTTTCTGCCAACTGACAAATTGATTAATCAATAGTTTCAGCTCTAATGTAGATTTTAAGGTGATTTATGAAAAAAAAACAAAAACATTTTCCTTGCCCTCTATGAATAATCATAATCAGTAAATATTGTGGAGCTGGGATTATATGGCTTTGTTTAACTTTAATGTCAAAACTTGAGTTAACCAAATAAACCTGTTGTATGGATGTAATTAGTCTAAAAAGAACAATTTTGAGTGTGTAGTTTCTGACTGAACTCAACAGATACTCATCATGGCTAAATCTGTCCTGACCACAGGCAGAAATTATAACTCTGAACTCAGGATATCTCAATTGCTACACACATTGCAGTTTTCTTTTCTGCCCCTCGGACTTCTTAGTTAAACCCACCTGTGGCACCTTGATGTTGCCCCTCAGCTGTCTTAGACAGGAGCTGGATGATCTTTGACACCGCACTGATGCAACAGGGTTCACGTCAAACCGAACAAAAGGTTATTTGATGCACCTGAAACAAAGAGCATGACTCAACTTTAGTCCTTTCAGAGCCGCTTTGAAAAAATAAAAAGAGATTTGGGCGACCTCTGAACAATAACGTCTTCTCTGAGTGGACTGCACTAATGAATGAGTGTGACGCTGCATCCAGAATAGCCAAAAGGAAAACTGATGTCACAGACTGATGTGTGATGTATTTCTCTCTGCTCTAGGGGCGCTGCTCGTCCCACTGATGTGCAGCAGAGATGACAAAATTATATCTCTCATTTCTACGGCTTCAATGACCTCTGGTAAAGTAAATGAGTACTGTACACATTTAAAATGAGGATTAGAGGTTGTTTTTAGTGGAAAAAGAGTCAATTTAACAGTGGGTTTAGGTGCAAATACACAATTTTTCTTTGATGATCTGGTAACAATCTGCTACCTTTGGGTCATTACCAAACAGGAACCAGTGATGGAAGGAGAAAGCGGAGAGATGGCTGAGTCATCGGATAAGAAACCAAAAAGAAAGGAGACAAAAACAGACCTCAAAGGAGGAGAAACAGAGGCAGACCCGCAAGCGCCTGGGCAAGAAATACAGAACAAAACCCAGACAGACAGAGGGACTGAAACAAGTAAAGCCGAAGGTCCCCAACAAGAAGCAGGATGATTCATCATTGAGATTATACTCTGCATACTGAAAAGTGTCAAAGTAGGTAAATAGTGGATCGCAGAAGCCTAATCAATATTTATCTAACAAATGGGCCCTGTCCTATTGACTGGTCATTCGTCCTCATTCATCTAGATGAAGTAGATAATAGATCAGATTTTTTATCGCTTCAGAAATATTTAGTCAACTTCAAAAACTCAGACAAGTGCCCACAAACATGTCCCATCACGAACGGGGACACTACGGTGATTTACATGAATGTCCTGGAGACTTAACCTAATCACGTCCTTCCTGACCCCAAACCTAAACCCTGAAACATTACATCAAGTCTTGACTCTAAAATGTAATGATTTATGTTGTAGGATTTTGTCAATGAAAATGGAGGCGAGCCACCACAGTATGACAGATCTGGGTCCTCACAACACGAGTAATACACACACTCTCTGCAGAAAGACACATGTACAAAAACTAATGCAGTCTAGTACAACAGTCCTGCAACAAGCCCTATACCCTCCTGAAGGTTTTCATATTTCTTTTTTTTTATTGAACCTGTTTCAGAGAGGTGCTGATTCAACTGTATTGCATTATACAGAGGGGTGTCTTCGTTATTTACCCTAAACTCATTGATATAGCCTAAATAGGGTGGACAAACACAACACAACACAATAATTCAGCACAAACTGCAGCCTCTAAAATGACCATTAAGCACATCTCTACAACAGTTTCAACAAAAACTGGACTATCACCTTCATGAGGGAGGATTTATTAGAGGACTGTTGTATTAGACTGTATTAGTACGCTGCCAACAGACTGGATATTACCGACCATTATTTACCAAGTGTGGCTTTAAAATCAAGTCCTAGTACTGAAATACAGAAAATGTGCCAGAACATTCTCTCCATTCAGCTTTCAACGCACCATATTTACCACCATGCCGAGACCCTCCCGTCTCCTCACACAAAGAGTAGAAATAATTAAAGGGATAAAGACGGTGTGACAAATGTGATCGTAATTCATCTAAATGAAAAATGTGTAGGGTTATGTGTATGTGTGTGTGTGTGTGTGTGTGTGTGTACAGCGGCACACATTCAGGTGCGTCTGTATGCTCGGCTCCACATGTGAAGCACATACTACAGATCTATTTCGGGGGCTGAAAGTGAAATCTCCTCCCTATAAATAGGACGATCGGAGCTGGATGCGGGCGCGCGGCTCTCAGTCCTTGTGCAGGTCACCGGTGAGATCTATTTTTAGAAAAAGCACGGCTTGCCTCACGTGAGACTGGCGACAGGTTTTTGTAGGTATGCCGGCTGCTGTTTTGCGCGCGAGTCAAAAATCATTAATGAACGTCATTCACTAAAACGACTTTTCATTAAGCTTTTGAAGACAGTCACTTGTGAGTTTTACGACAGAGAGAAAGACTCCGACTCCCACGGCGTCTGTTAAACAGTTAAATGACAATTTATAGGGATAAAATAATTGTGAAGGTAGTTGCTAGTGTCTTGCTAGTGTTTGTGCTGCTTCTTTCAGTATGAGCAGCTGCTCATGCTCTGATTGTTTTCTATGATTGTTAGTCCATGTTTTTTATTTATAGAATGTCCTACTATCTAAATCAACATTTCCAAACAAATCCTCTCAGAATGTTAATATCAGCTTGTCCGTTGATTGTTATCTCAGAGTCAGAATAGAAGAACTATTGTTTTGTGCACATAGAATAAAAACATATACTGCTGCTACACAGCGTTTCAATGCCAAGCCTTCCCTCTTAACAAGAAAATATGAAATTGCTGTGAAGCCACGGGACATGCGCAGCATTCGTGTCTAATAAACTAAAGAAATTGGAGGCTAACGGCGGTTATGTGAAGGTTTATGCATTCACAGCTGCCCAGGAATGATTTCCATTCATAAAGGGCAACGGAGAGACGGAGCGATGTGAAAAAGCCTCAGCATCCATGTCCGCCTCTTGTAACGGCAGCTTAACGGTGCCTGTCCAGCTCTGCGGTGTAGCCTTTATCTGAGCAGCCGACATGTTTCAAATATTGACAGCAGGCTAAATGTGGTCAAAATTAAGCGGTGAATCGCGCCGAACGAGCACCTGCAGTGTTTCACGACAGGTCCGGGCAAACGGGCGGTGTTGCGGAGTCCGCCTCGGGTGCCAGACATATAAACACACAGACCTCTTTCGTATGCAACCCAGTCTTCCCACTTTCCCCCCTCCTTCTTCCCCCCCTCCCCCCTCCTCCCCCTCCAATACACCGGAGTCCGGTGACTCCGTTTACGTTTTACGCTTGCTCCGCCCCTTATTCGGTTTTGTCCAAATCGGGCTTTTTGCGTCGCCGGAGCTCCCGATTTCAGTCCGACGTCATCACCGAGTAGAGGGAAGTGCTGACGTCGAGGCAGAGTCACCGAAAGGAGAGGGCACGGGAGAGGGAGGGGGGAGAGTTCCACCATTGCTAACACTGATATGAGACATATCTATCCCCCTCGGCCCCCCCTTTCTTCTCAACCCCCCTCCCTCCGTTTTACGTCGGTGTTGGTGCGTTGGGAGCCCCCCTACTCCGGCGGAGTCCCAGGCTATATAAGTGACCGGCGAGCAGAGTCCCTCAACCAGATTTAGGGGTCCGGACTTCTGTGCGAGAGACGGCTACTACAGCCGCTGATTAACCTGCACTCCGAAAGGGGGATAGACATCCAGCAGCCGACCAGCATCCGAGCTGGACGCTGTGGCGGAGCTAAAGCAGACGGAGACAGGACAGGAGAAGGTTTTGAAACCTTTCTCTGGAAAAAAAAAATCGCTGAGATGAAAGTCCAATAACACACCTCAGAGCTTCTCCACTCTTACAACCTGTCTCTTAACACATCACGGAGACAGGGCACTTCAGCCGAGGCACGACGTGAAACAACACTCCGCGCACAACTCTCCAACTCGCATCTGGAGGAATTTCGATAGTTCACCGCAACAACCGGCCACAATGTACCGCTCAACCAAAGGAGCTTCCAAGGCTCGACGGGACCAGATCAACGCCGAGATCCGGAACCTGAAGGACTTGTTGCCCATATCCGATGCAGATAAAGCGCGACTCTCATACCTGCACATCATGTCACTTGCCTGCATGTACACCAGGAAATCCGTCTTCTTCACTCAAGGTAAGAATGAATTTACTCTGAGTAAAAACGACCTGTTGATGAATCTCGTGTAGCACTGCTGCATTGACAGACCCGCAATCTCTCACAGGAGTGGAATCAACAAGTGTTTTAGTGACACCAGAGGCAGGTGCCTTGATATAAATCTGATTTTCGGATTATCTGTAGAGCTGTGGGTCATTAATTGATCTTTAATAATCGATATAGGCAAGAAGCTGATAAAAGCGTCTAAATGTGAATCTGTAGCTGTCCGTGGTACTGAAATGCTTTAGCACCATAAAAACAGCCGCACCGCTGTCCATGGTGCTGAAATACACTGCGGCCACTGTTTTTCCTATTGCGGAGATCACATATGCTGTGTTCGTTCTTATTAGCTTCAGATTCATGAACAAATCTGACACCTCTCTGTTCTGTCCCTTTCCACCCTTTTTCCTCTCTAGAAGCGGGAACTGCCGCTAGTCTTGAAGAGAGCGCGCGGTTTCTGTCTTTCCACGAACTGTCGGAGTTGATGCAGGCGCTGCCAGGCTTTCTGATGCTGCTGACCGGGGAGGGGAAGCTCCTGTACCTGTCAGACAGCGTCTCCGAGCACCTCGGACACTCCATGGTGAGTCCACACAGATTAATTCGCTGCTTAGTGAAGGGATGATCGAGCTCTACCTTGGGCTTCATAAATAACGTTTCTGTTTGTATTTTTTCAGGTGGATCTTGTGGCACAGGGGGACAGTGTGTACGACATCATCGACGCCTCAGACCACTTCATCATGAGGACCAACCTGTCAACCTCTACATCACTTGAGATGGGTAAGACAAAATGAATACATTAAAGTACAATATTTTTGGTTCTCCACCTAATGACCAACAAATACGATTTTTTAAATAAACCTCCTCTCATCTTCTCCTCTATAGACCGTCTCTTCCGCTGTCGCTTCAACACCTCCAAGTCCGTGCGGAGGCAGAGTGCCGGGAACAAGCTGGTTCTGATCCGGGCTCGCTGCCTCTCTCCCCCCTCAACCTCTCCTGCCGCCGGGTCCTACTGGACCTCCAACCCTGTCTGGGTGTGTTTCTGCTCCCCCCTGGAGCCCCACCCGAGCCGCTCCGGCCCCGGGGCAGAGAGGGAGTTGACTTCCACCTCTCCCCTTGCTGAGAGCAACTTGTTCCTGGCCTGCTTCTACTCCCAGCATGGCCGGGACATGAGGCTACAGGCAGCACAGGACAGGTGAGTTCACACAAATAACATCCCATCTCTCCACCTGTTGCTTTAATATGAAGTGGTATATTAATCTGTTTATGAGATAACTAAGGCGGTAAAACATTATCCTTCTAACACATCACCACCCACTCTCCCCTGCAGTGTGAGCGCCTATCTTGGCTTTGATGTGACAGCTTTACGCTCTCGCTCTTGGTACAGCCTCCTCCACCCACAGGATCTGTCACATGCCTCCGCTCAGCACCGCAGCCTATGTAAGTGTACTCTTCACACATACCTAACAGTTACAACCATCCATACCCACACAGTTACAAACACTGTGCCTACTGGCACATCCACACACTGAAATACACTATGATGATTAATAGGATTACAAACGATGCCAACTTGTGTTGTGACTGTTGTTCAACAGTGAGAGAAGGAGGAGAGGGCAGAGCTGAAATGGTGGTGCGTGTGCAAGCTCAGGATCAGTCGTGGGTTTGGCTTTACATGGTGCTTCAGCTGCAGCCTGGAGAAATCCCCATCAGCAGCAACAACTACATCATCAGGTATTTACTGACGTTTTAAATCACACACCACTCATCAATATGGAGGCAGGAGACAGATGAATACAGCCAAACACACCTTACTAACTCCATGTGTCTTCTCTTTCTCAGTGAGTCTGAGGCCTGGTCTGTGCGTCAGCAGCTCAGCTCAGAGCAGACCCAGCTGACCCTGATCCTGACTGCTGGTACCTCTCAGCAAGAGAGTCTGAGCCTCCAGTCCCCAGAAACCCTGTCCAGCCCAGACCAGGTCTTCACCCCAGGCAGCAGCGGCCTGTCTGCCCAGTCCTTTGACTTCAGCACTGCTGGCTGCAGCGTGGGCTCCTCTGATGAACCAGGGAGCTCTGCTGCTGAGGCCATGCAGCTGGAGGGTGACCCTCGTTCCAGTATCTCCTCTCTGGAGGAAGAAAGCTTCTTTCAGCAGCAACCTACTGAGAGCCCCTCAGCTGCCTCCTCGCCCACCCCAGTCACTGTTGAAACAGTAGCAGACTTAGACTTTTTAACCCAGAACATTCTCCTGCCACCCTCCTTCCAGCTCGACCCTCCACTGCCAGCTCTCCCCCTGCCTCTCCCACCTGTCCCCACCTCACAAGCTCAGCAGACCAAAGAGTTTGTGTGCACACCACCCTACACTCCCCAGGTTAGTGGGGCTAGCTTCCCATTCGGTGAACCCCTCTTCAGCTTTGACCCCACTGGCACTACCACACCTCCGCCCTCTGCTACAACAGCCACCGCCACCACCTCTGTGGCCCCCTCAGCGCCCGCCTCTGCCCCACCAACTACCACCTCCAGCCCTACTCCCCCCACCACCCTCTCTACCAAACTTCCCCTCGCTCTACCTACCCCATCCACTGATCTCCTCTTCCCTGTCGAGCCCTGCAGCGGCTCCCTTTATGAGAAACTGCCCCCCACACCTGACAGCCCCGGAGACGGTGACTGCACAGTAATGACCCTGCCCGAGGTACGGGGTCCACTGTATGTAGATGTACCACTGGGGCCCCTCCAGTGTCCACCTGAGGGCCTCCTCACCCCTGAGGCATCACCTGGTAAACAGCCCTGCCTCTCCTTCTTCTCCCTGGAGAGAGAGAGGGAGAAGGAGAGGGCAGAAATCTCTCTCTTAGCTCAGCATATCAGCTCACTGGCAGAGGGATTCTACCTGGATCCACTCTTGTCCAAACTCTCTCCTCCCTCCATGTCACCCTCATCCTCCCCTCCCTCCCCCTTCCTGTCTCCCACTGTAGAAACTGCTGATGTTGATTCAGTCCATATGCTTAGGGAGTTTTATCCCATCAAAGCATGGAGAGGTCTGGACATTCCCATCTTCCTAGACGATGATGACTCTCTGTTTGAAGAGAGCATCCTAGAAACCCTCCTCCAAGACGACTTCGCTCCTCCCCAGTCCCCTGGCATCTCCTCCCCGTCTCCCTGCACCTCCCCTATGCCCAATCCCTCCAGCCCAACCTCTCCTCAAACCCCAGTGTGCTGGCGCCAACCCTCCCAGTTTGAGGGAGTGGGCCACTTCTGTAGCGTCCAATCGGCGCAATGTAACTCCATGGCTGGGTGCGGGGCGACTGTGGCTGCTGAGGCTGGGGTGATGGCGGAAGGGGAGGGGCTAGCGGAGGAAGCAATGGAGATCGAGGTGGTGTCATCTCCAGTGTCCTCTTGCTCCTCCATCCCAGCTTCCCCTCCCCTCATCCTCACTGCCTCCCCCAGTCCCGCCACCTCCATGCCCATTGGCTCGCCCACGCCCGCCGTGTCTTGCACTCAGTCCCTCCTGGAGGAACTGGCCGTCCTGGAACCCATGTTTGGGGCAGGTGCCTCGATCGCCCCTGGCTTAGGGCAACAACCTGAGTTGTATCAACTCCAATGTCATCCATCGCCACAGTGCTTCCACAAAGGTAAGAATCTGTCTTGTTTTTCGCATTTTAGCTCAGTCTTGTTAAATGGGATGAAAAACCATTCTCTGAAAATGCACCACTAACTTCTTCTTTCTCTCTTTTCCTTTTTTGTCTTTCAGATGGGAGTGGAAGTGTTCCTCCGTTCTAAAATAAGTCTGTGACTTACTTCATTAAGTATGGCATATTGTCATATTTTGTGGAGCCCCTTTTACTGAAAAGTAAAAAATAATTAAGTGTATAAATATACATAATGTATATACAACTTAAGGACTTTAACTCCTACATGTCTCCTCAGAACAAAGATTGGCTTTATATTTTTGTTCACTCATTAATCTGTATACTACTACAAACCTGGTGCAACATTTACATGATGGTGCAACCACATGGACTCATAACTGACTGGGTTTTGAGTCCATGTGGTATCTTTCAGCTTCTCTGTAACACGAGCTTCAGATATGATCAGACAGAGAAACATCTCTGAACTTGTAAGCGCTGTTTAACTTCCAGACGCGCACTTGTATTCACTCGTAGTGAAAACTCTGTTGTGAACAAAAAATAATACATTTCTTGCTATTTTAATAGGGAGATGAATTATAGCACTTTTTGCTTGACATGCAGCAACGCAAACCCAAACCTCAAATGTACTGGAAGTCAAATGTTTACAAATTGTTTACAAATTGTTTACATACTTAAAATGACCAACCACTATCACTAGATCAAAAGAGGAAAGATTTCTTGCTGTGAAATCTTCTGTTCAGCCTTCAGAGCTGGTGCAGCTCTGGTTTGATAGCACCCAGTCCTCAAAGCCTTAAAGGCTACATCAAAACTCACAATAGTATTCAACTTAAAAACTTGAGATACTTTGAGCTTTGAGTTTGCGGCTTCAGACCTTTAACATTTCATATTTATCTCTCCATCTAAAATCTTGTGTATCAATGTGATGTGCAAACAAAAAAAGAGAACATGTGAAGAGATCCTGGCATGTGAAGATCTCAAGAATGTTGAAGGTGTCCATTGCTTTACGAGATGTAACACCAAACAACAGATTGTCTGGAAGTTTGCCGGAGCTCTGATCATGCCACAAATCCACTGCTACGTTGTACTGTACATTAGACTCTGAATGTGGGCTCTTCAGGTCCCTCTTGGCTTGAGGGCAGTCGGCTGGATATTCTTGCAGCATCAATATTTGCAATGCTGGCAGCTTATAGCGGCTCCTGTGTGCCTGAAACGGCCCTGACCTGCTGAACTCTTTATCATGTCCATTCAACATGGACAGTTACATCGTTGCTCCACTGGAGCGCGGTGTAGTGAGGCACAATTGACTATGTGAATGAGTGATTCTTCTTTTTTGAGAGGGGTTAGAATACAAAAGTTTTGTTTTAAAAAATGAAAATAGGGATGGGGTGCTATTTCTATTCAGTTACCAAGCGACACGGGTTGAGAATGGTACTATTCCCATGGTGTCGACATGCTCACGTAGAGTTGTCTACGGTCAAGTAAAGGATTGATTCCTACGTTCTAGCTATTAAAGGCTAAGTTAATATACATGTGTAAAATTATATTATTGTATGTGTGATATTTGAAAAAGATGTTAAAGCATATGCATTATGTCTGTGGATATAGGCATATGTTCTTTTCAGAAAGGTTGTACACATTTGTACATTTGTATGAAACAGTTATTGGTCTGTATATATGAGAAAGAGATTTTTATTGCCTAAAATGGAATATATTCTAAACATCTTACTTACTGCAGAATGGACATTGTGGACCAGTGTTCTTATGTGATGCTTATAAGTGTATTTGGTTGCCATACAAATGCATTTATATTAAAGTGCACTTAATGCGGCTGATGCATTTGTGTCGTCACAGTCAAACCCCCCGTTCCTCCCTCAGCCTCCTCATCATCATCATCACCATCACCATCATCATCCCACCATCCCTGCCTCTTTTCGCTCCCTCCCGTACACTCTCCTCCATTTCTTCCCCTGGAGCGAGTTTCGCTCAGCAACAGCACTGACGCACACACATGACGAGACAGAATGAGACACTATCTGACTCAGACTGACGCACACACTTGGCATCGAGGTTTTTTGCGTGCAAGGACGTGCACACAGGCTCACACAGATGGCCTCCCACTTATGATGATGCACACACACACATAGTAGTAGGCATATGAACCCCCCCCCCCCTCTACAAATCACAGTAGCCCACATTCACTCGATGTACCTGCAACTCTATCAGCGCTCTGCGTGGTGTAAGACTCCATATATAGGCATTCCTGCTCAAGAGCTCTGACTGAAACAGCCTCCCATCTATTCTCAGCCTCCATTCAGAAGGATCAGAGAGGGGAGGGCGGGAGAGAGAGGGGAGACAAAGAAAGAGTAAGGGGAGGCTAAAATTAGAGGTACAGTAAAAAGGGATGTGGGACAAACTGATACTCTGTCGCCACAGGATGAATAGGTGAACATAACCAAAATCACAGAACAAAAACACACATAAGTTGCCTGTTTTCTGTAAATCATGACAGACAAAAAATAGAGGATGGGTTTTATGGACTGAGGCCTACAATATCATTTCTGCCAGATCTCATCATCTCTGCTACAAAATAGATGATACAGAATCGATTATATGTAATGAGGCAAAGCCCTGAACATTATATTTTCTCTCGGCAAGCGAACATTTTGTTCCATCACAAGCTGCTGCAGTGTCTCTGACAGAGTGAAGATGAGCAGAGGAGGCGGCGCTGCACAGCTGACTGCTGCTATCCTCTGGCAAAGATAAGTACTGCACCAGAAAGGAGCATATTGTGTGTTGTGTAAGAGGCCATGTTAGGAAAAGGTTATGAAGAGGGCAGGTGTAAGGACACAGTTTTATATCTCAGGTTCATTTAACCAAAAAAAACATTACAGGTGTAATAAAGATCCAAATGGCACTATTTACAGATAAGTGTAGGGTCCATGTACAGCTGAGTGATGTGGTAGAAATTATATATTAGGATATTAAAGGAAAGGCTCACATTTTTAAAAGTCTGACCTGAAACAATACTCACGTGCTTATATGTATGTAGTTCAGTTATTGGTTGCTGAAATTGTTCCTCCTGTCCACAGTGGACTGAAGACACCTGTTCCCTCTTTGTATTTCAGACAGCTTCTCCTTGCTGAGCTGTGGTGGAGGGAAAGTAACACAAAAGGTGGAAAACAAATGGCCACATTTATGAATCACTTTAATTCGAAGTGTTTTAAAATTTTCACACACACTCCAGTGAGCTGCCATGATACAACTGTACCATGGTACAATACAGTATATTATGTCATGGTAAATGCAGGAAAACTCACATATAAAATGTCACGACAGTGTGAAAATTGCTCAACACAAGATCTCAGAGTCCAATGTCTCTCTCTCTCTTTAAACTGCATGTTTTGTCAGACCAACAATAGAAAACACAAAACTTACAGGGAACAGAAACACAGAAAATCGTCATTTGAGAAGCTGTAACCAGTTAATAGTTGGTGTTTTTACTCGATGAATGACTTAATTGGTTTGACTGATTAATTGTTTCATTAGATGAAACCAAAGACTTTACATGTGTAAAAACTTCAAAATTTGAGGAGAAATAAGATCATGTATGTGCTTGCACAAACTTAATCATGACATTACGTTATAATTCCAGTTAAACTCAATAAATAATAATATTGAGTTATACTCCCGCCCTTAGTCCATGTGAATTTTGCAATTATACATGAGATGAAGCCTTTAGGTCTCTGACTGATAAGATGTGTGTAAAATGTGCAGGAAACCATCTGCACAACCTGACAAAAAGCCAAATCGCTTCCGGAAGTGTTAATAAAAGATAATAACATCAAAGAGACTGAATGTACAAACCCTTCCACGACAGAGCAATTACACTTTCATTAGCTCAGCTCAGAGGAAATCAGACACTCAGCGTCATAAATATTTCCAAAATTTGAGTGGATCTTTTTGTTGCCAAAATGTATCTGATGTAAATTCTTCTAAATCATTCTAAAATATATCTTAATATCAGCTGTAAATAAGGACACAGAAAAAAATATATCACATAACTTACTGTTTATTAAGATCTGACGCAAACAACATGAACAGTGTTTTTGTTTGAATGTGGTACATCATGTATAAAGTCAATATAAACAGGAATGAGGGTCAGTTTTGGACGTAAAGGTCGTCATTTCTTTTTACTCGACAAAGCTTCGGCTGCAGCGGCTGCAGCTGCTGCTGCATCAGCTTTCAACTTCTCCTCCCTCTGCTCCAAGAAGACTCTGTATTCATCAGCTGAGAGACTGAGGAAGAGAGAGAGAGAGAGAGAGAGAGAGAGAGAGAGAGAGAGATGATACTCAGTTACCCTAAATGTGTGATTTATAAGTACAGGAAGTGAAGCCACAGTAAAATATAAACACTGTTAAAAGGCTGAAAGACAAAATGTTGAGGATGGCATCATGATTTAAAATTTAATATCACTGTACAAACAACACATCAGCAGGTTTCCAGTGGAGATGCAGTGATACTTAATAACAAAATTAAATTTTACTTGATTGCAGACAATCTGTCAGCTATCTGCAACATTGACTTGACTTGGCGCCAGAGTCAAAGAGGAATGGTTTCTCTCTCGTCTCAACACAGTGCAACAGTGTTCAACAACCATCCAGGGAGAAATTTCTCCACTGACAGTACTCTCAATAAATCATAATGCACTGCAGCCGCAAGACATGTTAAGTTTTAAGTGAGGGGAAGAAAGGGATTGTGGGAAGAGCACGAAGTCATTAACTGAAGTAGAGACAGAAGCAGCAGGTTGAAGTTGAGTGAGATTCTGCTTGAGCGTTGAACTAAAAGAGACTGCAGCAAGATAAATATAATGCTGTGCGCGGCCTGAATGATAAACATCTGTGGAAGAGTGAGCACAGGTGGATCTTCACATGCGAAGCTCTTCACAGGTAAGTTTGCAGGAGTGGGTGAGGAGGCGCCACTACTGTAAAATCTAAAGCAATCAAATACCAACGTGTCCTAGTTGACTGTATACAGTAAATGCTATATATGGCAGCAACTAATGATCATTTCTATTACTGATTAATCTACCAATTATTATCTCAATTAATGGTTGGTCCTTGATATAGTAGGCCTACAAAAAATGTCTATCAC